ATTAGATTAGATTAGATTAGATTAGATTAGATTAGATTAGATTAGATTAGATTAGATTAGATTAGATGTGTAGAGTTGAGATGAGATAAGATGAGATGAGATAAGATAAAATTGGATGAGATGAGATGAGATGGGATGAGATGAGATGAGATGAGACATAAATTGCAGGAGGCATTTTCATTTTATTTGGTGCAAATTCTCAATCATTCATCGTAGCTGAGCTAGCCAGAGCTCTAATCGTCAAAAGCCAATGTTCCTCTCGCATTCTGCCTCAAATGTAGTTGGCTGGTGTTGAATGCCGCTCAGTTCGAGGCATGTTCTCCTCCGAGTCTGCCGGTCTTGCAGCGGATAACTGCCAAATTCGTCCATGTTGCCGGCTACAGACAAAGTGGTCGGCTGAACAGGTTGCTGAACTTTAATTTGTCTCCGTCAACAACCAGCCGCTCATCAGATGCAATGAAACCTCGCAGGCTCGCATCGACATGCGTGAAAGTTGCCTCCGGTTTTCTGGGTCACGTTACATTCTGCTCCCCCCCCACACCGGCCCACTTGTCACCGGCTAGGGGGGTTGTTTTAAAGAAAAACAAACAAATAAAGCCCAGCAGATAAATAAATAGTCACCGGGGCTCAGACAAGGCTGGGTGCGAGGGGTGGCGTCGGGACATGCTTGTCGAAGCCGCAAGCGGCCCGGCGTCTCGGACGGCCATTGTGCACTCGCCGAGTTGGGAAAGTTCGGCTGGTACCGGACGGAGTGGGGCGGCAGGAGTCGAGGCCAGGCTGGGGCTTAAACGTGGCAGTGGGACAAGCCGACATCATCTACGTCGTGGAAGCCGACTGACACAACCCAAAGGCTGGGCTACTTTGAACATGTGAAACGAGCTGCCTCAACCCGCATAACGACCGAGTAACCAGCCGACTAAAATGCTTAAATGCGTAACTAACCTCGCCAGCCAACTGCAGCCCCAACTACCAAATGCTCCACACACCAACACACCCAACCCATACTTTCTCGTCTGCCTGCTTCCTTGAGGCATCCAATTAGTAGCAGGCTCTCTTTTTACTCCAATCGCTCGACCACCTACCCACCTGTTCTGTTTCTCCATCCTTCTTTTGGCAATATTCCTCCTCACCCCCTTCATTACCGACCCACATACCCACAAAGCTATCTATTCTCCTTTACAGCATTCTCTTTACCTTTACCATCTAGCACTCAACCTATTCACCTATCTATCTATCTATCTATCTATCTATCTATCTATCTATCTATCTATCTATATATCTATCTATCTAT